ACCTTATACCATGACGTGCTTATCTTAAAAAGTTTGACTTGTATAATTAGAATTCAGGGAAACACTGTAATGGGGAGTAAAAACCTAAGTAATTGATTACTCTACAGGTATCTTAGACGCTCACAGCCACCTTAACCTCCAGCCCCCAGATACAGGACGTTTTCGGCAAATATGAACATATTCTGCGACTCAAGCATGCTCATTGCTTCCAAGACCATCCAATTCTCGCATCCTAGCCAAGTGCTTATTCCCATTAAGGTGACATTGCATGTCTCTCTCACTGGTGCAACTTACATTACAGATAGCACACTGCAACTTGGAATTTCTAGTAGCCAAGTGCTTATTCCCTTTCAAATGACAAGTCATGTCTCCCTCACTGGTGCAACTTACTTTGCAGATTGTACACCACCACTTAGAATTCCTAATCTCAACAGATCGGCTCTTCATCAGGTTCTCTTGCTTAGCTTGCTTCTTCGATTCATGCATTCTATTTTCAGGTGGAGTAGTGTTGCTGATTGTACACTTCTCCGGCTTGCCTTCAGGAAAATTAGATTTCTTTCCCATTGAAGCAGGGGAAACATTAACATTGTTGTTTGATACCTGGTTCTTGGAGTTCAGCAGCTCAAAAGCTTTCTTGTGGCGCTTTCCTTGAAGATGTGATTTAAGGACTGCCAGACTTTCAAATGTTAACTGACATACAACACAAGTAAAACCAGTCCCTGCGGTTGCTGTGGTAAAATTAGGTTTCTTTCCCACTGAAGCAGGGGAATCTTCACTTTTTGGTGTCTGATTCTTGACTTTTAGCTGGTCACAAGCAACCTTATGCCGGTTTCCTTGAAGATGTGAATTAAGAACTGCCTCACTTTGGGCTGTTACTTGACATATAGCACAAGTCCATATCTTTTGGGCTTTCTCGGGAGGTAGTATCTCGTAAAGATCTCTGCCTCCTATTGTTGTTGTTGCTGTATTTATGTTCTCCGGAGGTAGAAATGTTATGTTTTCTGTCTGACCGTTGTTAGATTCTATTTGTCTAACCTGTAAATGCGGTAAATATAGATGCTTAAAAGATGTAGTTTAAAAAAAGCACATGGTAAATATAGAATGGCTACAATGGCATTTGACTAATAAGAAACTAATAAAGAAAGGTAAATTTTCAAATCATAGAGGTGAAGGAAATTTGCGATATTCAGAAAGAGAATTTTTGAAAATTCTATCAAATAATACGAGTTCTAGAGAAGTTTTAGATTGTTTCAACCAAAGTACAAGTATTGTATATTTTAGGCTCTATAGTACTTTAATTTTTCTTACATCCATTTATTTCTGTTGGGTCTTATAGGCGGCCAATATTTATTTAGGTCATTGGGCTTTGACAACCTTCCTGGCTTATTTTCCACACAAGTTCTACGTTCTTTCCCACATATTTTTGGATATTCAATTTCTAAATAGGCACCAAAATTTCCCAGTTCATAATACTATTTCCAACTGTTGAATGAAGTTAGTTACCTGCTTGGTTGATGCGACTTCTTTTTTCTCTGTTATTTCCACAGCACTACTGCCTTTGAATTGAACTGGAAGTTTAGGTTGTTCAAACTTTAGCTACATGAATCAAAAGGTATTCAAATTTATTATTAGCCAGGAAAATTTCGCAGTGCATAATTTTATTTCAAAAACAGAGGTACCCTTTTTCTTTAGAAGTGCCAAAAATTTCAACTTTCAAATAAAAACACCTGTTCGGTTGGTGCAACTTCTATCCTCTCTGTTATTTCCACAGCATTACAGTCTTTGAATTGAACTGGAAGTTTAGGTTGTTCAATCTTTAGCTGCAGGAATCAAAAGATATTCAAATTTCTCATTAGGGCAGTAAAATTTTGCAGTTCATAATATCATTTCCAAAAGCACACAAACCCTTTTTCTTTGAAAGTGATGAAAAAATTTCAACTGTTGAATAAAAATACCTGTGCGGTTGAAGCAACTTCTTTTTCTCTGTTATTTCCACGGCATCACTGTCTTTGAATCGAACTGGAAGTTTAGGTTGTTCAAACTTTATCTGCATGAATCAAAAGATCTTCTAATTCCTCATTAGGCAGTCAGTAACATTTCGCAGTTTATAATATTCTTGCCAAAAGCACAGTTAGAGTCTTTGTTTAAAAGTGCCAAAATTTCTACTGTTGAATAAAACTACCTGCTTTGTTGATGCGACTTCTATCTTCTCTGTTATATCCACAGCATTACCGCCTTTGAATCGAACTGGAAGTTTTGGCTGTTCAAACTTCGGCTGCATGAATCAAAAGCTTGATCAGCTTTTCTTAACAACCATTGGTTGAAATCAGCTAATTTGATTGCTAAGAAAGAAAACCCTATACTTTCCACAGCATCACACTTAACAACCACTCTGCTACAAGAATATCGAATTAGTTCATAAGTAGGACTTCTTTTCACAAATATATAACTCAATAATAAAGAAACATGAGTTATGTAGTTGCTGCAATGATCGAGCTCTCATTATCAACAACCTTCTTACTACCGTTGGTTGGGGTGCGTCATAAGTATCCATCATAAGTATCCATAAACAATATTGCAGTGAAATTAGTGGCCTTACCAAATCCTCTGCTGCAGATGCCCTGATCTCGTCCACAGCAACATTAGGCTTTGCACTCTTTTTCTGGAAGAAAGAGACAGGTGTTTGAAGGACAGCAAAGATGAAAAAGACATACTTTTTACACCAAGTATAGACAGCATCTTTTAAACCAAATTTTATTATAACCCTGATTCAATCCAACCATAACATGCGTAAGATTTTAGGCACACAATAAGAATGTCAAAATTAAATTAATCCAATTCATTTCAGGTGTATATCAAAAGATTTCATAGCTCTTTGTTGCCATGAAGAAGCATATATACCGTGGAAGCAATGAGATCCTCCAAAGCATCAGAGCCGTTTTCCTTCATATACCTCTTCACCTCAACAAGGAAATCATCTTTCTTGAAAAACAACTCATCCAGCTTGTTGAACTGGCAGGTGATAATTCTCGGTCCCATGGATAGACATGGATGAACAAGGTGTTTATAGACATAAAGGGAACCATCAAAGTAAGGCAGGACCAAGCAGCCGACGATCATTAGCTTAATGTATAGCCAGACGGTTAGCCTGGAAATAATGATACGAAAATAGAGATTGAGTTAAGAGAAATTAATTCAACGGTAATATACCGCCTCTTGTCCAAATCATATAGCACACAACATATTTCCCTATTCCAACAATTTTAACCAATGTCCAAAATCATCTTAAACACATAAAATTTCATTAAATCGTCGTACTGATTAATTACATAAAGAAAAAAACTCCCCGGGATGGGAATTAAACTACTGAAATTGTTATGACTCCCACAAGATAATTTTTTTATTGGTTTCAACTGGCTACAAAAACAGAGCTACATAATGTTATATACAGAAAATATAATAAATTACCATTCAAGCTGAAAAGCATGTTCAAAGAGCAAAACCACAGAAATGGAGACCCAATATGTGATCAGCTTCTGAGAGTCTGAGTTGGAATTAGTCTCGATCGCTTGAATGGAAGCACATCTGTTGACATTCAGAAACAAGTACGGTAATTTAACATTTCTTGGATAAATAAATACCGACTTAACATTGAACAACATAATTGAAACATCGTTAGAAATTGTCTGAGACATTAACATGAACAACCACACACAAAGTCAAACAAAGAGAGGATACTTACAAAGGATAAACCAAACCAAAAACAGGCCTGCTACCATAGAACAGGAACAACTTATCAGAGTCATGAAAACAAAAGGCAAAACAAAACAAGTTCTCAAAATCAAGTATCGCTCATAATTAACCAGAAAGTATGAAATAGATACTTCAATATGTCAGAAGAAACAAAGAGATCTAAAAATTTAGAATCAGATTTCAAAACCTTATTATAAGTGAAAATCTTCAGTACACTTGTACGTACAACAATACCATTATAAGTTAAAAATAGAAATATATATATGCATACCATGCAAGAACATCAAGAAATTTCACAGCAAATTTTGAAAGACCCACAAAACCCATCATGAGCTCAGACCTCTTCGGAGAAGTTTTTCTCAGCTTAATTAATCTCCGCTAAAGTTTTGTTCAGATTTTTACTAATAAATAAACCATCGTAGAAGCAACTAAGAAAAGGAGTGGAAACTGGAAAGACGTTTCCAAGGAAAGCGAAAGTGTGAAACTGCGAAGTCGCTTTTAGTCCTAGGTGTTTTTAAATGACAAATATGTCCTCATATTTTTTGCTATTGTTACTCGCTTGAGTGAGTAAGAGTTATATACTCGACTTAAATGACTCAAACGTGTCCCTTGGTAAAAGATTCTAACTGGACTTGGCGAGTATTGCTAGATGATTACTCGCAGCAGGACCCATAAGATTGATTCCCATAGCATATACGGACATGTACAGTAACTTGAGTACAAAGTATACGTGTACAGTTTTATGTACGGAAGTTGGTCTGAATTCTACCAAGATTCAGGAATTAGTAGCATAGCGCCCAGGTTGGAAAAGAAAGGGAATGGAATTGGATTCAATTCAATTGGGTTTTGTTGCTAGTTCAATTCTTGTGTTTAAATACTTTTAAAACAATGAGAGTTATGAACATGTGTTTCCTGGGGCGGTAAAAGATGATGACATTATATTGAGATTAAAGTGAAAGATAGGGATTTTGTGATCAATGACAAGAAAAAAGGACGTGCCATTGATTTATCAAAAACTTTCGAAGCTCGTTTTCATCAACCTTAAGAACTCGCTATTGCTGTTAAGGTTTTCAGAAGAACCGTGGGTTATAAGCATGTAATAGGCTCAAAACTATTTAGAATAGAATTTATCCCTTTCGTGTTATTGACGAAAAAAATTAGTTCTATCTTGTCCAATTTTCTTGGTGGATGGGCCATGGACTATCTTGGGACACTAGATTACTATACAAACTTGGACCGTCCATTTCATGCTTCATAGAGTCGGGGAGAGACGAGAGAGTAGTGGTATGGATTCGTTTTTCAAATTTACATCTGGATTGGTATTTGAATCTTGTATACAATGGTTAATATGATAGGTCACATAGTCAAAACAAATTATAATATCTGAACAAACCAACAAAGAAAATTTGCAAGAGTTGCAGTTGATAAGGAGAGTGAAGGCTCTATTCGAGTGAAAGATATTGATCAAAAGGTTTGTTTCGAAGGTTTGCCGCAAGTATGCTATACATGTGGTCGTATGGGATATAATGGTTTATTTTGTTCTACTCGAAAAGCTGAATATCCGGATAATATTGAGAGGGAGACGATGGCAACTAGTGTTGTTCAGAAGGCTGCCGATGGTCTAAGTAATGACTGCAAAGAGAGCTCAGAAATTTTTGGTCCATGGCTGCATGCTCCGGTGAAATCAAGGAGAAGAACCAGAAAGGAAACGACAAATGTATTGCTCAACTGCCTAAACAAGACCTTGAAAGAAGGCATGGATCCCGGTTTGAAATCCTGTCAAATAAATAGGCGTTATCAAGCGAGATTTCTAGGGAATTTTCAGTTCCTGCTATCCAAGGATTTGATGCTTTTGTTTCTCTCAGCAGGCTTGTTTTACAAGCGAAGTCCGAAGCTTTTCCAAGAAGGCAAAGTGACTCCATGGAAGGCCTAAAACAAAAAGGCCGAAGCTCCAATTCAATCCAGCCTGCAGCCCAACCCACTTCCAAGCCAGCAGCCCAGACACTAGCCAACTCGCAGCCAGCCAGTAGCCCAGACAGCCGTCCAAGCCCAGGTATCAGCCCAACTCGCCGCCAAGCCGGTAGCCCAGTCCATTACCAATACAGCACAACATGATAATTCAATTGTCTTTGTCAAACCCAGCGAGAAATCGTTCTGCTTCTCGCAAACAGAATATTGGAAGAAAAGGAAGACAAAGAGTAGTGTGCATTGTTGACAGCAATCTTCCGTCCCAGGTTCAGCTTGATGCAGACATGGACAGTGACTCCAATTCTGATGATGAAAAGAAGGTAGTTGTGGAGGATAAAGCGGGGAATCCATTTATTTTCACTCAGCTTTTCGGCGATAAAGCAATGACAGTTCCGCTTGATATTGGGCTCAAAGCAAGGAAAACAGTTGGTAATTCCAAAATCCCACCTAAATTTTCGCTAAAAAAAAAGAAGAAAAAAGAACAAGCTATGTGTAAAGTTGTGTCAGCCGGCAAGGACAGATGAATAAAAACATGCAATCTTTACCCCCCTGGATACGAATAATCAAGAGGAAGATGGGATTTTTTATGACAGAAAATTTTTATTCACAGCAGTATATGCCAGTCTACGCATGCAAGCTCGTAGAATTCTCTGGTATGAGCTGATCAATTTTTTTAAGTGCATTATACGGGTGATTAGGGGTGACTTTAATGCTATGTTGAATGAGGATGAGAAGATTGGTGGTCGATACTTCAATTTTTTTAATAGATTGGCTTTTCAAATATTGTGTTCATTCTTGTTAATTATCTCATGCATTTAGATTTCCAAATTAACTTGGAAGAGGGGCATGGTGCAGGAGGTTAGATCATCTTTGTAATTCTGAATGGAGAATATTATATTGTGAAGCACCTTGTCAGACTGAAGTCAAACCATAGACCGCTCATGCTGTAATTTCTACCAGCTACGTACACATAATATTCCAAGAAGTGATATTTTCCTGTTTCAGGCTTACTTGATTGACTCATCCAGATTTCTGTACTTTTGCTTAGGAGAATTGAAATACAGATGGTGGCTTTCCCAAGGCTGTTGATGATTTTGCCAAAGTTGCTAATTCATGGAACCAATAGATGTCTTTAGTAATATATTCAAAATGAAACAACAATTATTTGCTCGATTATCTGGCATTGAAAAATCTCTGGAATATAACTACAATCCTTTTTTTAATTAGACTTAGAGCCTATCTAAAAGCGAAGCTTGAGCAAGTGTTATTTCAAGAGGAAGTGTTCTGGTTTCAAAAGTATACAAGTAATCAACTTTTACTTGGAGATCAAAACACAAAATATTTTCATACCCTGACAATGGTGAAATGCAAGAAAAACAAGGTTGATGGTTTAAAAGACGCCTTAAGGAAATGGATATTAGAGACTCGGAATTTATTAAAGCTGTTGACGAACTATTACAAGACTCTTTTCACCGTAGTTCCTCTGTCAATGTCGGCCTACTCTCATGGTGCTTTTAACCTTTTTACTCAGAGACATCCAAGTATTTTAACTGCTCTTTTATTGGACATGGAGATCAAGGTGATAAATTTTTTATATGGATCCTTATAAAGCACCATGTATAGACGGCTTGCACTTCCTCTTTTATCAAAGTCAATGGGAGATGGTAGGCCCTGATATTTGTCATTTTATTCGGAGTTTGTTAAACCATGTTGCGTGGGACACTACTCTTAACAAGACACTTCTAGTTCTAATTTCGAAAGTGGAGGTTCCAGAGACTATTAGGTCCTTTCGACCAAAAGGACTTCGCAATGTTTCCTAAAACTATTCTTCCGCGCTTAATTTTTAGAACTCAAGTCAGTTTTGTTTACAGGAGGGATATCATTGATAACATTATCATAGCTCATGAAGTTCTTCTTATGATGAGATGGAAAAAAGAGAATAAGGTATAAATAGCTATTAAAATTGATTTGGAGAAGGCCTATGATCAATTGAGTTGGGATTTGATTCTTGACACTCTTAGGGATGTTTATGTTGTTTTTGTGGATAAACTTGTTTCTCCCGTTATGAAGTGTATTTCTACCGTTTCTCTATAGGTCAACTGGAATGGGCGAATTCTAAGGTCTTTCATCCTTTCCGAGGTATTAGACAACGAAACTCTGTATCTCCTTGCATTTTTGTTTTATGCATGGAGAGATTGAGCAAGATGATTAACGTTACTAATATAGGACGGGAGTGGGGTTGCACTCAACCCCTCAACCCTTGCTATCACTCATTTATTTTTTTATAGATAGACCTGATGTTGTTTGAGAAAGCTAGTTTAGCTCAAATACGAATTATTATGGAAGTTCTTGATAATTTTTTACCTCTTTCTATTCTAAAAGTCAGTGTGGCCAAAACAATTTTTTTTTTTTTTTTGGGTTCTTTTAACACTTCCGAGCTTCTGGCTAAAAACATTAGTTGTATGTTTTTTGTTAAATGATAACTTAGAGAAATATCTCGACGTGCCTTTGATCGATGATTGTGTCAGTGTCACGAAGCAGACTCGTAAATATATTATGAAAAAAATCTAGAAAAAGCTTTCAAGGTGGCAAGTTCAGCACCTATCTCAAGAATTATCTTAACTAAATCAATATTATCAACCATTCTAGTTTATGCTGAGCAATCGGCTTGCCTTCCGATTTCAATTGATTTGGAAAGGCATAGCAAAATGTTTATTTAGAGCTCTACAGAGGATCAAAAGAAACTCATTTAGTGGGACAGAATTTAATTTGTCTACCTAGGTATAGGGGAGGCCTTGGTTTGCTAAAATTTAGGACTACCAATGAGGCTTTCGTGATCAACATGGATTGGGATCTCCTAAATAATAGTGGTACTCTTTGGTTTATCATCTTTCGTAGCAAGTATTAATAGGATTTTACTTCTATGCCGAATGTTCTTATTGCTCATAATGGATCTACTATTTGGAAAGATATTGGAGCCTTTTGGCCTTCTGTGATCAAAGGGATTCGGTGGTCGGCTAGAGATGGAACCAGAATCTTTTTTTCATAGATAATTGGGTGGTAGACAGATGGATATATTTATCCTAATTGTTTTATTTGTATACGTCCGGCAATGAGACGCCACTTAACAAGGCTGCATTATATACCACGGACGGCGGAGGAAAGACATCATTAACCTTATAACATGACGCGCTTTATCTTAAAAAGTTTACTCGTGTAATTAGAATTGAGGGATACAGACTGTAATTGGGAGTAATTGATTACTCTACAGGTATCTTAGATGCTCACATCCACCTTAACCTCCAGGCTCCAGATATAGGACATTTTCGGCAAATATGAAAATATTCTGCGACTTAAGCATGCTCATTTTTTCCAAGACCACCCAATTCTCGCATCCTAGCCAAGTGCTTATTCCCATTAAGATGAGAGTGCATGTTTCCCTCGCTGGTGCAACTTACATTGCAGATTGTACACCACCACTTAGAATTCCTAATCTCAACAGATAGGCTCTTCATCAGGTTCTCTTGCTTGCCTTGCTTCTTCGATTCATGCATTCTATTTTCAGGTGAAGTAGTGTTGCTGATTGTACACTTCTCTGGCTTGCTTTCAGGAAAATTAGTTGTCTTTCCCATTGAAGGAGGGGAAACATTAACATTGTTGTTTGATGCCTGGTTCTTGGAGTTCAGCAGCTCAAAAGCTTTCTTGTGGCGCTTTCCTTGAAGATGTGATTTAAGAACTGCCAGACTTTCAAGTGTTAACTGACATACAACACAAGAAAAACCAGTCCCTGCAGTTGCCGTGGTAAAATTAGATTTCTTTCCCACTGAAGCAGGGGAATCTTCACTTTTTGGTGTCTGATTCTTGACTTTTAGCTGTTCACAAGCAGCCCTATGCCGGTTCCCTTGGAGATGTGAATTAAGAACTGCCTCACTTTGGGCTGTTACTTGACATATAGCACAAGTCCATATCTTTTGAGCTTTCTCCGGAGGTAGTACCTCGTAAGGATCTCTGCCTCCTATTTTTGTTGTTGCTGTATTTATGTTCTCCAGAGGTAGAAATGTTATGTTTTCTGTCTGACCGTTGTTAGATTCTATTTGTCTAACCTGCAAATGCGGTAAATATAGATGCTTAAAAGATGTAGTATAAAAAAAGCACATGGTAAATATAGAATGGTTACAATGGCATTTGACTAATAAGAAACTAATAAAGAAAGGTAAATTTTCAAATCATAGAGGTGAAGGAAATTGGTGATACTCAGAGAGAGAATTTTTGAAAATTCTATCAAATAATACGAGTTCTAGAGAAGTTTTAGATTATTTCAACCAAAGTACAAGTATTTTATATTTTAGGCTCTATGGTACTTTAATTTTTCTTACATCCATTTATTTCTGTTGGGTCTTATAGGCGGCCAATATTTGTTTAGTTCATTGGGCTTTGACAACCACCCTGGCTTATTTTCCACACAAGTTCTATGTTCTTTCCCACATATTTTTGGATATTCAATTTCTAAATAGGCACCAAAATTTCCCAGTTCATAATACTATTTCCAACTGTTGAATGAAGTTAGTTACCTGCTTGGTTGATGCGACTTCTTTTTTCTCTGTTATTTCCACAGCACTACTGCCTTTGAATTGAACTGGAAGTTTAGGTTGTTCAAACTTTAGCTACATGAATCAAAGGGTATTCAAATTTATTATTAGCCAGTAAAATTTCGCATTGCATAATTTTATTTCAAAAACAGAGGTACACTTTTTCTTTAAAACATGTCGAAAATTTCAACTGTTGAATAAATAACCTGCATGGTTGATGCAACTTCTTTTTCTCTGTTATTCCCACAGCATTACCATCTTTGAATCGGACTGGAAGTTTAGGTTGTTCAATCTTTATCTGCAAGAATCAAAAGATATTCAAATTTCTCATTAGGTGGTAAAATTTTGCAGTTCATAATATCATTTCCAAAAGCACACATACCCGTTTTCTTTGAAAGTGATGAAAAAATTTCAACTGTTGAATAAAAATACCTGCGCAGTCGATGCAAGTTCTTTTTTCTCTGTTATTTCCACAGCATTACTGTCTTTGAATCGAACTGGAAGTTTAGGTTGTTCAAACTTTAGCTGCATGAATCAAAAGATCATCAAATTTCTCATTAGGCAGTAACATTTTGCAGTTTATAATATTCTTTGCAAAAGCACAGGTAGATTCTTTGTTTAAAAGTGCCAAAATTTCAACTGCTGAATAAAACTACCTGCTCTGTTGATGCAACTTCTATCTTCTCTTTTATTTCGACAGCATTACTGTCTTTGAATCGAACTGGAAGTTTTGTTTGTTCAAACTTCGGCTGCATGAATCAAAAGCTTGATCAGCTTTTCGTTTCTTTTAGATGGTTGAAATCAGCTAATTTGATTGCTAAGAAAGAAAACCCTGTACTTTCCAAAGCATCACACTTAACAATCTCTCTGCTACAAGAATATAGAATTAGTTCATAAAGTAGAATTTTTCACAAATACATAAATCAATAATAAGGAAACAAGAGTTATGTGGTTGCTGCAATGATCAGGCTCTCATTGCCAAGAACTTTCCTACTACCGTTGGTTGGGGTGCGTCGTTAAGATCCATAAACAATATTGCAATCAATTAGTGGCCTTACCCAATCATCTACTGCAGCTGCCCTGATCTTGTTCACAGCAACATTAGGCTTTGCACTCTTTTTCTGGAAGAAAGAGACAGATGTTTGAAGGGCAGCAAAGATGAGAAAGACGTACTTTTTTATACCAAGTATAGACAGCACGTACTTTTTATACCAAGTATAGACAGCATCTATTAAACCAAATTTTATTATAACCCTGATTCAATCCAACCATAACATGCATACGATTTTATGGACACAATAAGGACGTCAAAATTAAACTAATCCAATTAATTTCAGGTATGTATCAAGCATATATACCGTGGAAGCAATGAGATCCTCCAAAGCATCAGAGCCATTTTCCTTGATATACCTCTTCACCTCAACAAAGAAATCATCTTTCTTGAAAAACAACTCCTCCAGCTTGTTGAACTGGCAGGTGATTATTCTTGGGTCCATGGACAGACATGGATGAACAAAGTGTTTGTAGACATAAAGGGAACCATCAAAATAAGGCAGAACCAAGCAGCCGACTATCATTAACTTCATGTATGGCCAGAAGGCTAGCCTGCAAATAATGATACAAAATAGAGATTGAGTTAAGAGAAATTAATTCAACAGTAATACGCCGCCTCTTGTCCAAATCAAACAACATATTTTCCTATTCCACCAATTTTAACCAATGTCCAAAATCATCTTAAACACATAAACTTTCATTAACTCGTCGTGCTCGAGTAATTACAGAAGGAAAAAAAAAAAAACCTGGATTATTAAACTACAGAAATTGTTTTGACTCCCACAAGATAATGTTTTTTTTTTGCTTCAATTGGCTACAAAAACAGAGCTACATAATGTTAAATACAGAAAATATAATAAATTACCATTCAAGCTGAAAAGCATGTTCAAAGAGCAAAACCACAGAAATGGAGACCCAATATGTGATCAGCTTCTGGGTGTCTGAGTTAGAATTAGTCTCGATCGCTTGAATGGAAGCACATCTGTTGACAGTCAGAAACAAGTACGGTAATTTAACATTTCTTGGATAAATAAATACCGACTTAACATTGAACAACATAATTGAAACATCATTAGAAATCATCTTGAGTCATTAACATAAACGAACGCACACAAAGTCAAACAAAGAGAGGATACTTACAAAGGATAACCCAAACCAAAAACAGGCCTGCAACCATAGAACAGACACAAGTGACCAGAATCATGAAAACACAAGGAAAAGGAAAGCAAGAAGTTCTCGAAATCAAGCATTGCTTGTAATTAATCAGAAAATATGAAATAGATGCTTCAATTAGTCAGAAGTAACAAAGAGATCTAAAAATTTAGAATCAGATTTCAAAACCATATTATAAGTGAAAATCTTTAGTGCACTTGTACGTACAACAACGCCATTATAAGCAAAAATAGACATGTATATGCATACCATGCAAGAACATCAAGGCATTTCACAGCAAATTTTAAAAGACCCACAAAACCCATTATGAACTCAGACCTCTTCGAGAAGAATTTCTTAGCTTAATTAATCTCTGCTGAAGTTTTGTTCAGATTTTTACTAATAAATAAACCATTGTCGAAGCAAGTAAGAAAAGAATTGGAAACTGGAAAGACGTTTCCAAAGAAAGCAAAAGTGTGAACAGAAAAGTCGGTTTTAGTACTGGTTGATTTTTCCTTACTTTTTTAATCGCTTGAGTGAGTAAGAGCTATATACTCGCTTTATATGACTGAAACGTGTCCCTTGTCGGAAGATTCATACTGGACTTGGCGAGTATTGCTAGATGATTACTCGCAGCAGGACCCATAAGGTTGATTCCTCGTAGCATGTATGGGCATGTAACGGGTACAAAATATACGTGTACACGTTTACGTACGGAAGTTGGTATGAATTCTAGGAAGATTCAGAAATCAGTAGCTAGGAATGGCAATGCGGCGGGCCATCCCCGCCCTGCTCCGTCCCTGAAAATTGAAAATTTTATCTGGTTCCCGATCCGTGTTCCATGTGGTAATATTTTTTATACTATCTTCGTCTCAATTCTTAACAGAGCATTCATATCCTGTTTAATTTTTTGTTTTCTTCTCGTTTCATTTTATTTTATTACTAAATTTTAAATTATAATAAAAAAATAATAATTTATATAAAAAATAAATCTTAAGAGTCGGTTATCATAGATTTTATATAAAGTATAATTGTAATTTTAGAAATAAAACGAGACAAATGAGACAGAGCAAACATATAACATCCTTGCTCTGTCTTCATTCAAAAATAATACTGAGCGAAGCACCTTGCTCCGTTCCCTAATCAACTCGGAAAATCCTCACATTTATCGAAGAGGGATAGGATTCGTCGGAGCGGAGCAAATTGTCAACCCAATTAATAGCATAGCACCCTATTTGGAAAAGAAGGGAAATGGAATTCGATCCAATTCAATTGAGCTTTGTTGTTAGTTCAATTCTTGTGTTTAAATACTTTTAAAACAATCGAGTTTTTAACATAAGTTTCTTCGAGCGGTAAAAGATGATGAAATTGTCTTGAAATTAATTAATTCCATAGAAAAATGTCCTTTTTCCATCCATCACGGATATATTATTTTTTTATATATATAACAACTTGAAAGCTTATAATAATTGATGTTCAATAGAATCTTAATCTAATTTGTATAGTGGTTAGAGCAAAAATTAAGGTGTTTTTATTAAATTAGAATGATATCATTTAAATTCATGAGGTCAAAATGCTGATGTTATTATTATTGGTTAGGCAATTTTTGTTGCTGTTGTCGTCGTCAGAAAGCTTAAATGTAAGCTTGTTTAACTCCTTTGGTAATTTATTGAATTTCAAGCTAATTTTATTAGGTAAACTGTCTAGCATTTCTTAACCTTTCCGAGACACATAAAAATATAGATAGTGATGACAATGAACTTCTTTTTTGGTATTTCTGTTTACCTTATGCCTTTCCATAACAGCTTCAAATATATTAATTTCAAGAATCCTCAAACTACAATGGTAAAAACACCAAAACTAGTGTATAGTGTTGGAAAATTCTGCAGTGCCTTTGTATAATTTAAAAGGCATTGATCTTAAAATGCTTTTTCCGAAATGATTTTATAGTGTTTCCTTATACAATTTCTATAGATGTAGAGTTAATTTTCTATATATGTTTGAATAATAACACAAATCCGGAATGAATGTTGTCATTTCCTGATAGGAAATTTTGCTTTTTTTCCAATAATATTATTGGCAGATTGAATGTTTCAAAACTCGATCCACCAATTCTAATTATGATTGATTATTGAATGTTCTCTAATCATGGTTGGATATTCAATAGATGACCATATTGTATGGTCGACAGTTACAACAAAGGCCTTCTACAATTGATGTCTCCGAAGTCACTATACAAGCACAAGTTACTCCGATGTGATCTTTTCCACTAAAGTTTTGAAATCTTGCGTAGCATGGCCGCCAGGTGCAGATGCCTTCGATACAATCTCTTTAAGGACTTGGATTCTGCTCCAAATTATTCTTCCCTGTTCATTTTTCAAAATGAGGTCTAAGCTCTTGGTAACTCCGGTCTTTGTAAAAACACCTCCATCAATTCTCACACCAATTCTCCAAATGTCCACTATTAATCGTGCATTCAACTTATTATCCGCGAAGAAAGGTCTGCAGATCATCGGAACCCCATTTGCAATACTCTCATACACAGAATTAGCTCCACAATGTGTCATGAAGACACCTATTGAGCTATGTGCTAATACTTGAGTCTGAGGTGCCCATGGAACCACCTTTCCGTGCATTATAGTCCTTTCTAGGAATCCATTTGGCAAACAATCCCTTATATTGTCCCTAAGAGACCAAAGGAATGGAATTCTACTCACTTCAAGAGCCTCTGCTAGTTCTTCTATCTCACCGTGAGGAATATTGACTACAGTTCCAAAGCTGATATACGCCACCATCTTAGCTTTTTGGCTATCCAACCATGATAGACAACCAGTGGCATCTTCAATTGATGGTGGCATAGATAGGCTAAAGAAGCCGACATTAAGCAGGTTCAAAAACTTGGATTTGAAATCATTTAAGAGCGGTTCAGGGTAGAGCTCTTCGTAAAAGTTCATAACTAGAGTATCTACTTGTGGCACCATGTTACTAATTTGACCTAACATGCAAGAAAAGAGTGTTTCTTGTGCATCTCTTGGCAACACTTCAACAGGCAAATCCGCAATGTGCAATTCAGATAATCCAGGAATTTCCAAGGTTTTGTCTTCAAGCTCTACATCGTTGCCATCTCTGCCACTATTGCTGCAACCATGACTAAGAAAGCTGGCGTAATGTTGGCGAATCAAATCAGTATAAATGTGTGTAGAGAGGGAATGAGGAACTGGGATCCAAACTGGGATCCAAGGAATGCTGACATTCTCAGCGATTGATCCAGCAAAGGACAAGAACACATCTGTTATCAAGCAACTTATTTTTTGGCCAGTTTCTGCCACTGCCATGTCCAATGCCATCTTAAAATTTTCTGGCGTTTCCTTGATGAACAGCTCAACTCTTTCCATTGGATCTCCTGAAAATACATGATTCGGCAGCACGCCATCCGCTACATTGTAGGCTTTTATGTTATCAGGTAGGTTGGTCCTTGATGATAAAAAGATTGAATTGTTGGATTTTTCTGTGTTAAAAAAGGAAAATTGTGTTTCCTGCGCAGCCATTGCTAACTTCTGCACTAGATTAATGAGAGAAAGAGCATGGCAACCAAAAGGGAATGCAAAGACGGCAACATGCATTTTTTCACACTGTGTGTTTGGTTGGTGTTATGCAGCTTGGCATTGGATCAACTTGAGTGATTCAGACAAATTAAGAAGAGAAAAATCACAAAAACATTTATGTAAGAGGTTATGGATTTGCAATTAATTAGATTTGTGTCAAACTCCGTTTATAGGTAGGAGATGGAGATCAGATTTACTTTTCTTTATAATTAAAATCTCTCTGCCTACCTACCTTATACTACTCCGTATTAAAGTCAAATGTGATTGTTTGAGAACCATGGATGGAAACGATTCAATGAAGAAGTAGGTTTTGCATAAAGAGCATTGAACGATAATTGGAAAAAAAACTGCTCCATTAAACAGGACGATAAATGTATGAGGGGTTTCCAAAGAATGAAAGTAACTGTTTATATGCATCTTATACCTTATACACCTATTGGACAATACATAAAAGTCTTAAAAGAGTGTCTTCGTAAAATACATGTCCTTTTTTATCGTAACAGGGGGTGGAGCATATTCTCTTCATCTAGAACAAGCGCTTAGGTTAGAAGAGGTAGTAGCATCATGTTAAGGCTCTAACCAATCTTTAGTAGGTTGTTGGCTTTTGCTGAAGATCACATCTCCATATATGGTTTGTTTGGGATGCCAAAATGACAATTCAGCTCATCAACAAAGATATGCAAGAACAAACATTTTTTATTAGAAACATTCTTCTAATGAATTCTTTGAAAACTTTTATACTAAATAGAATATATAGAATTGTGATAAATCAAATATTTCAAAGTCGAGATATTTATTTTCAATCAGAATTGGACCATAACGAAATTCAGTTTATACCAACAGTATAATATCAAATAATTTTGATTTATACCAGCATCATAACATCAAATTGCAGAGAAGAGTAGAATTAGAGATTGATTGAAATTGAACAATTCAGAATAAAATTAAAGGAATAAATTAAGGTTAGTTGGGATGGAATTGATTGAAATCAAAAGGAAAGAGAATTAAAATTGAAGCAAAGAAAATAAATCAGAGTGCCTAGGAGCTCAATTGCAAAGAATTTCAAATAATAAGAACCGAATTGCTGGTGACAAAACAGTCTCTCCCCTACTCCTCTTCACGCTCCTCATCCTCATTGCTGGTGACAAAAGAGGATGGTGGCAACTGCAGTAATAAAGACGCTGTAACAAAGGGCCAAACAATCAACCAAACAAGGCAAGAAAACCGTGCTTGAACCCTCTTTTTCACGCTGCAACCTGCAAAAGAAAGAATAAAAAGCCAGCCAGCCAACCAACTAAGATGAAAGGTCAAGATACTGCCACCCAAAAACTAATGTTCAAGATCAAATTAGAGAGGTTTTGAAGACATTCTTTTCTGGAGACTATAAAAGGGGTTGGCCTGAAAAGGTCAAGGGCTCTCTTTTCTTTTGGGAGTCGAAAAAAAAAACAAGAAAGGTAGAGAAAATAGAGGAGATTCACTAAGTTCTAAATTAAGAAGGAGCTCTGGTTTGTCTTAGAATATTCAAGTCCTGAATTTAGCTCTGATTTTTGCTAACACATCCATTCTTCACAAATATGCCCACTTTTCTCTGTTTTCTCTTGCAATGTGCGTGACTTTACCTTTGTATGGTTAGATATTTATGTTCTGCTTCTTTTCATTATTAGTTCAAATTTCTGCATTTCCCTCTAGTTAGATGTACTTATATAAAATTAAAAAAAAAAAAAAGAAGAAGAAGAAGAAGAAGAAGAAGAAGAAAGAAGAAATAGAATTGTGCAGGCGAGAGAAAAAAAATGAAGAAAGAAAAATAGAAAAGAGAGAAGAGGGGACTGTGTTGGCTGAAATAATAGAGGAAAAAAATAAGGAAGAGAAATAATATGAGAGTGAGAGTTGGGACTGTTTTACATTCTCAAGGAGACGAAATAACAAAAATAAACAAATAAATAACAAAGAGGAAGATTTAGGTATGTCAGCATGTTAGAGGAGAAGAATTACGACAGAAAAACAGAAAGAGAGAGTTGGAAATGGTATCTGTGTGTTAGAGAAAAAAAATTAGGAAAGAAAACAACATGTAGGGAGAATTAGGGGTGCTAATCACACATAGGAGTTAAATAAGACAGGTTTAGAGTTTAGTCCTTAAAACTATCAGATTATTTTAGTTTGCTAATTATAAATAATTATTGTTTAAATGGTGTCCCTGATTTTGAATGAATTGGTTTAAATCGGCAAAAAAAAATATTATATTTAGGGACTGTTTCAGATTTCTATTTCTTTGACATGGCTAATATTGATATTTTAGCTTCAATTTTTTAAATATTTTAGATCTATTTATTTTTGAGTTATGATAAAATTTTCAATAATTTTCAAACTCATTTGATATTTATTTTGATTTTTTTTTTTTGATAATGCTATGATTAGAGATATTGTGTGGCAATTAATTACATAATTTTAATTTTGTTTATACAGCGTTGGATCGATGAATCTCTTAGATTTTAAGGACCGATGAAGATTTTTCTTGTAATTAGATTTTGCATTCGATTGTGATGAATAAAAGAATTTGTTTATGACTTAGAAAGTTTTTAATTAAAAATCGTTTGTCAAGCCAACAAATCTTCTATTTCTAAAGACCGCCTATGGTCTTAATGAATTTTATATGAACGAAAAAAAGAAGAAAGGTGAATGAGAAAGAGCATATATAGGTTAGTTCCTTCTGCATCCCAATTTTGAATTAAAATTCCAGTAGCTTGATATGCTATTAGTGACATCTCAATCATGTTAGTATTTAATCATATCCGATATTAAATTGACAAGAATATCAAAGATAAATCACAACATCAATTTAATACAATTCTATGATAAATAATGAACCATTATTATTCATAATGGCCCTGTAGAAAAAATATAAAGAATTAATTCTCTTGAATTAGAATAAATTTGATAATCTTTTTCGTTAAAGTATGTCTTTGAATAATTTTTATCTTTTCAGTAGACATAGCCAACTCTTTATTTGTAGTTTTTGAATTTAATGTATTTTTTGGTTTTTTAATTTTCTCTCATACTAGATGGTGACTTTAAAATTTTATTTTTGTTTTCTCAATATATGAAAGTCTCATATGTAAATTAATGACATCAGCCGTAAAAATGAAGCTTGATGATGAAGAATATGATGAGTTTGGGATTGGCTTTTTGCTCTCAATTTTCTTACAATGCACCACTAATGAAGTAATGATCCCCAAATATTTAATATCGATGAGATGGCTTCTCACACATTTGAATGGATAGTAGTTCTAACGTAGTGAATTAAGAATCAATAGCTTTGGGTACTTTTAAGACTTTTTTTTAAGTACCCTCCAGCAACTAAATTAGTTTATAGATAGAAGAGATATCTGAATAGATTATAGTGATTATGTATTGTCTATATGTAAGAGATGACAAACAATATATTTTTTAATTAGAGAAGCATAAACCTATAACATCTGACTTCTTTGGCTTTTATACAGCGAAGGACATTAGGGGGATTGTAGGAAGAGAGAGGCAAAATCGTATATTTGTCCGTTCAATTTTTTCAGACATCCAATTAAGGAATCATGATTTTTTTTTTCTTTTTTATGATGACTCATATGCTTGACAATGCTTTGCATAGTAGTAGTTGGTATATATTCGACAAAAATAATTTCAGGATTGTGCTTTCATTAAATATACGTAATCTTTATCCAAAATAAAAAAACATCTTAACCGTTCGGGTTAGTTATCCGAGTGGATATCACAAGCCATGCTGGACTGATCTCATCCGGGAAAAAGCCCTAGCTGGAGTCATAGAGTCATCTGGTGACTGACGCGTATTACTTGGCCATATCAACTATGAAATTGGAATCGCGTCTATACATAATCAAGAATCCCTTCTCAGTTCACTGCAATGCGGTGAGGCTTTCATGTGAGGCACTTTAAATACGTAATGGTGTTTCCTATGGATCTATCTGGACGGTTATGGTGCTTACTATGGATGTATTTGGACCTTTATGGTGCGATAATTCATGGGTTTACTGTTTCACTCCATTTTCAAAAGGCATTGGGACTGACGTTTTAGTTAGTACAGCGATCATGGCATGACTTGAATTGATTTTGGTACAAGACTGGTGCAATTCTAATAAAGTACATTAGGGAGTTGAATTAAATTAAATAAAATAAAAGTACCTTAGACAACCACCAACGAGTGCAGCTATTTGATGCAGGCTATAGATGAGCCAAACACGCACATTATTTTGTGCGACTCCCTTCTACGAAAACAGCTGGGACTTCCTTTTCATATATTATCATGAAAAGTAGTTGCATGCGAAATTATGAATATAATAACGTCAACTCCCTTCTTTCCTGGGACTTCCTTTTCATATATTATTATGCCTTCGTTGTGCAACTAAATTTATTCTCAAATTACTCATTTTGCACGTCCCCATATTTATGATTTTGGATTGAAACTTTTACAGGACATAATCTTTCATTTGAGGGTTTGTTTGTGGTCTATAAATCCAATCCCAAAGGTTTTGTGCAATAATCGTGAGGATGTTGGTTATTAAACATATCAAGAATGTAATGGGTGGAAATTGGATAGCTAGGGACTTGGATGTTGCATATGTACATGGAGACAAATTTTTGTGCCGATCGTTTAGCTAATTTTGTCGTTAACTTAGGGTGTGACGACATTGTATATTTTGCAGATGTTTCCATGTTTTAGCAGTGCACATTTGAGTAGGGATTTTAAGGGTGTACCAATTAAGTGTGGAGGTAATAAGTTTTTTTGTTTGGGCTTTTTGGTCTCTTTGATACACTAAAAAAAAAATCTGAAAAGTTGATTCATAGCTTCATAATTTATAGATATGGGTAAGGATCGTTTTGCACCTTAAAACTAACTTTTAACATGTGTTTTCGAATCCATTTATGATTCAGTCAATAAATGTCACTAGAAACGTATCTATATCATATTTCTAGCTCTATTTTTATTCGTTTTCCTTTTTTCAGAATTG